GGAGGTTGTTGTCGATATCCTCCTATATTATAAGCAATATCAACAATACATTGCACCGGGTATTCAAAAATGTATACCTTTCTAAGTGTTCTTAAGATGATATTGGCTCAATAAATAACGCTGTGGGTGTAACTTACTAAAATGTTGACCGTATCTCTACCATTTGCCAGAGGGACTGACTTACTTCTGTCCCCCAAAACGCAAAAAAAAATAAATAAAAAAAAATGAATACAAACAACCAAACAAACGCAAACAAAACAAAACAAAACAAAACAAACAACTGTCACAAAAACCTAATCTAAAACAAAAACAAAACAACCAAACAACTCCCCCAAGAAGAACAAACAAGCAAAGCACACAAAAATACAGAAAAAAAAGAAAAAGTGATATACTCGTTTCCCCATAAAGCTTTCTCAATAGGGAAGGTTGTTGCATTACACCATCTTTGTTTCTTCTATTTAGATCTTTTAAAGGAAGAGGAAGGCCACGCAAAAGGTGGATCGAGGGTGTCAAGGAAACCCTAAGAAAACATTACCTCACAACTGAAAGAGCTGCGGAGCTGGCCTACATTAGAAAACTGCATCTCCCCTCGACGCTTAACGCCAACAGAGGATGGAAAAAGAAAAAGAAGAAGATCTACAGTTAGACACATTACCCAATCAGACATGGTATTGGAGACAAGCTGGAAAAAGAAAGAGAGGTAGACCAACAGGAAGTTACAGAGGTGTAATCAGGGATGACTGAAATGAAGTCCTGTAATCATTCGTGGGGAACGCTGACCAAGATGGCCCAAAACAGACAGAGCTGGAGATCCTTTGTTGCTGCTCTAAACGCCAGATGGCGTAATGGGTTAGTAAGTAAGTAAGTAATCAGGGATGAGGCAAATTACTCAGGCTAGATGTGTCAAGAATGGAGGGGGGTGGCCAGGGATAAGAAAGCGTGGCGTCGATTGCTCTCTGCCTTATGTACCTAACATTATCGGGAGAGATAGTGTAAGTAAATAATATGTATGGTTAGCTCATCTGATTTCTTATAGGACAAAGCTTCTTTCCATTTTGATTCAAAAAGCCATTTGGGCGGTTGGGAGGGGGGGGTATTGTCACAAATTACGGCCAATTTTGTTTGCTTGTTCTTTTTGTTGTTGTTAAAGACTGGTCAAGTAGGAGTGCCTGCCTCATTTGGGTAGAAAACACACCATACCTCTCTTCCAGTTTCATCAGATTCATTGATAGGCGGATTGGTGAAGGT